TAAAAAGAGCTAAAACTGTTGTACAGTATGATAACAAGACATCTAAACAAGAGCTAAAACTGTTGTACAGTATGATAACAAGACATCTAAACAAGAGCTAAAACTGTTGTACACTATGATAACAAGACATCTAAACAAGAGCTAAAACTGTTGTACGCTGTGATAACAAGACATCTAAACAAGAGCTTATTGAGTTATATATATTATGATACCAAGTAATCTAAATGAGAGTTTAACATAACATCACTGAAACTAAACTAAAACTATTAAATAAAGAAGTAAGTAAATAAAACCATAAACTCAGCCCATATCATTCATATAATTATCAAGCTTTCTCTTAAACTCACTTATATTTACTGCCTCCATAACATCTGAAAGCAACCCATTTCGAAAGGTCAACCACCATGTTAGAAGATGACTCTTATCTTGCCAAAATGTATATTTGTGTCCCATGGTCCTACCATTCTCACTATTAAATTAAGTATGAAAAATGATTATGCATCAACAGATATTCTCTTAACAATCTTAAACATCTCAGTCAGATTCCCTCAATTTGATAGATCTTACCCTCTCTTTGTATATACCCATCCACCCAAGGCACCATTCTAGTAGCCTTCCACTGAACTGTTGTATACTATGATAACAAGTTATCCAAATTTATGTTCATTTGTTATTAATAAAACTTAGCTAAACTAATCATATTAAAAAAAATATTTACATGTTAAAGAAGAGGGTCAGGATGTGGATTTGGTGTATCTGTCAAATTTAGTTTCATTTAGTAAATTGAATGGCTTAGATGAATGAACAGGCCCTTTTTTGTCCTTAAATTTAATACTTTGTTAAGTAATAAACTGTTTATCACGATGTCATGTGATAATAGTTCTTTTCATATTCTAGTATGTATATTAGCATCTTCTAGTTGCTTTATATAAATATTTTCATGTTGTCCACTTTCTTATGGCTTATTAGCTGAACCTGCCAAACCCACAGAGAAAATACAAGAAGTTAATGAAAACCCTCAACCTGGTTAGTACAAACAGGATATGTTTTTTTTAACCAATGAACAAAATCAATTCAGTTTATTGTTGTTCTCTCTCTCTTTTGGGGTCATATTGTGACTGGATTTGAAGTCAGTTTAGGTTGATATATTGTTTTATGTTTTATAATAATGTTTAGAAATAAAGAACAGTAAGATATAAATCAAAAGCTTAACAGTAGAATAAGCTAAAAGATGTTCATAACTTTTATATTTTGAACTTGTTTTGGTATATATTCATTGTTTAAATTTTGATTGACCTATGCTATTAATTGTTGGTGGCCTTTAAACTTTCTAAACTTTTTTGTAATACATAAAAATGAATGATTAGACAGTTTCCTACTAATAATCTGCTCTTTAGCCAAATTAGAAAACATGTTTTTATACAGCATGTATAAATTGGCAAATTTGTAACTTGTATGGTTCTTCCATAACTATACATTTATTATTACAGTTTATACTTAAACTTACTTTGTATCGGCTATCTATATAGGAATTTTCTTTTCTAGTTGTTCATTATTGGATAGCAATCACTGAACATTTCAAATATAATATAATTTTGACATTTGTAGCACATATTTTTGGCAATATAGGGAAAACTTTGAAATTGATAATAATACTGAGAGGTGGCTCATCATATTTCTATTTCTATATCTTTATAATAGTCAGAAAATTTGTTACAAAAGTTTAAAAATGTGTGAAATGGTGATTCTACATTTATACTTAGTTAAGGTGGCTTATCATGTTTTTATTTCTATGTGTTTAAAATAATCAGGAAATTTTTTATAAAAGTTTAAAAATTTGTGAAATTGTAATTATACATTCTTATTTAGTTCTCATAAAGTCGGTAATCACTTCTTAAAAAAATATATTTTTATTCTTGTCAGAACCTTACCCAGAACATGTGTCTAGTGGAACAGATGAAAACAGAGCAACACCGACAACAGAACCACCTGAACGTGCACGAGTCCTGGGTTTACTAACTGTTATAATTTTGTCCTTTTTTTTCTGGTAATCAGCTTCATCGTGATGAGCCGCATTGTCTTCTTGCCTACAGAGGACTTATGACATAAAAAGAAATAGGGTGGGGTATCTTTAATGAAAGCCTAAAAATAATTTTGGGTAAGAGTATTTCAAACTTAACGATATTCGAATGAAGATTACTTAAAGTAAAACTTATGTTTATTTGTTTAATAATACTGTGAATCAAAAGGAACAAAGGAGGAGGGATAATCTACATAAAAATAACATGACTCATAGGATACACTTGTAGGGAGAAAGTTATACCCATTTAAGTGCAAGATTTTGGGTAGAAGAAAGTAATTTGTACAAGCATCCAGAATGAGATTAACTCAACCATAAATCTAGCTTACAGGCTTTGAAATGACTGAAATAAATTGCAACTTTATGTGACCAAAATACTGGCAACAAAAAAAACAACAAAACGGGTCAGTTCCAAACCATTAAACATCGAAAACACATCCCAACTAAAGCAGAACATCTAGTAAAGAAATCTACTACTTGTGGGTTATAACTTTTACAAATATCTGCTACTTGTAAAAGTAGGACTAGTACAGACCCCTGCTACCTGTAGAACTTTATTAGTGCGGACATTTATGGCTTGTTGGGTATGACTAGTAGATGTCAGCTATCACTTTTGGGGCATGATTAGAGTAGACACCTATTACCTTTATGACTAGTGCAAATAACTGTTACCTTTAAATGTATAACTTATTACTGATATACACTGCTTAGGACACCATGTAACTATGTGCTTGTTTATAAAGGCATTTAATGTTAATAGAATATGAAAGGTGTATATCTCTACTACCTGTAACACATGACAAATAAAGAAATGTAGTCTTCTAAAACAAGAGATAACATGAATTATGATGACACAGATCTCGAGGACTTAATATGTACAATCCAGAATATCTGTCATAAAATTTGATAAATATGACATACTTTTTCTTCCTAGGTCCTAAAAACTAGTGCATTAATTTATATCTCTAAAAAATAATCATTTTAATGTGGATGCTACTTGTTTATATGAATACAAAAAATCCAAGTGGGATTAAATATTTGTTCAAAAACGAAATGAGATGATATTTGTTTCCTTATATCTGATCTTATATCAGTTATTTGCTTAATCTCTTGTTTTCATTTATTAATCTTTCAGATATTCATATAGTTGAAAACAATTTTTGAAAGTTAAAGTTTCATGAACACATTTAACATTGAACTTGATCTTCATTACACCAATCATGTTTTAAAGGACATTTACTCTTCCTGGAAAAGTCTACTAGAATTGCAAGCATATTTAACAATGAAGCTGATTATTTTGTTTTTTGGAAAAAGAATAAAAATAATTTTGGGAGCATTTCCATTACAATGCTCAATTTTATTGGGAAGGCCTGTTAACTCTGCGAGCACATTTTACAATGAAGCTGATTCTCCAGCTGTACTGTTCGGCCTTATGTTTCCTTATGGTCTATTGTGTCACGTTCAACCACATCTAGTTGATAAATTTCAGGTAGCTTTACTTCATGCTATTATTACTATATTTATACGTGTCACTTATATCCTATAGGAAAACAAGTATATCAACACTGATAAATTAGCTTGGATTTTTTTGAGAGAGAAAGAAGTTTCTTTCTTGCAAAAGAGTGCCTTAAATATTTTGTTTTTGTTTATATAACACACAACAGCTACAGCAGTAGTCTGTGAAATGTTTTACATGACTATAACAGCCAAACAATAAAACAATGAACTCCTGTTTCAAAACATTCAAATAACCATAAGTTATTTTGCTGAACTCTTCTTCTTCTCACTTTGTCTAAGTGATCCTCTAAGTACGTTCTAAGGCTAATAACTTTATATTTTGTAATATTTTTATTTACATGAACACATTTGTAGTTTCATTAATTATTCATAAATAACTTAATTGGAAATCATTATTCTGTCGAATGTTATAGTGCTTTGTATGTACATTTAAAGATTGCTTTTACAATACTAGCAAATTGTTTAACATTCCTGTATTCTTCAGCTTTTCTGTTTCTATCAGAAACATTTTCATTTGTTCATGAACTGGAATTGCTTGTCATTTGACAAATACATGTTTTCCTTTTAAATCTCCTTGTTTTATAAATTATAAATCATCAAATAATTTATGTAAAACATAATAAAAAAATTACAATTACACTTTTCATCATCCCTGCACTGCCAATTTATCAGAAACCTCTTTATTTATATTCACTGCAACTCTACCTATTTTGAAAACCTTAGGCTACAAATATTTATAGTTACTTTGTCTATCAACAATAACTTTTCATTTCATAAAGATTAAAATATATATTTTAATGAATTATGTAAAATACTTTATTATGACAGATAAAAAAGGTTTTCTTTGTAATTGATAAAATTTTGTTTTTACCATCAGTGACAAAAATGTGTTATTGAATATCAATAGATCATTTATTTAGACATAACTCTTCTTGGACTTCATGGCACTTTTCAAATTTATAGCTATCAATTGCTTATAATGTTTTTATTAAAAGAAATATTAAAAGGACAAGTGCAAATGTTTAATTTTAGTTGATTTTTGTATGTGAAAGAACTGGGTGTTACTCATTTGGCCTGGCACTACTGCAGTTTTTGATATTATCCCTTGCGAGTGTTTTTTGTGTGTACTTGACACTTTGTACAAAACAATCATTTTCTCCTTTTCTCAACTCCATATTTTCCTTTTGCAGTTTATCAAAATTTATATTTGTTTTAATAGGAGTTATTTTGCTAATATGCTTAAATAGATAAATAGCACAGACTATCAAACTACAATATAATTGCTGGTGGCCAGTTAGTTAACTACATCTGCATCGTATTTTATACACTAGTAGACATATAGAAGTATGAAGTCCAGGAAGAATTTTATCATACAATGTGGAGACTGGGATGCATAGTTACATTATGATAATAGAATTTTGTGTATTGATTTGATGTAGCATAATTATATGTTGTTGGTTTTTTGTTTTTTTCAAAGAGAAATAAATGTTTGTTAAGAACTATAATTCTAGTTATGTAATTTCAATTAAATTAAAAAAAGACACTTTGTACAAGATTTTCTGGACAATATTTTAGTAAAGACAAAATAAAAAGACACCTAATGTAACTGTAACAGAAATGGGAGAAAACACATACCATGCTTAAAGTTCATGGTCTGTCTGACCTCTCACCATATAATATTTCAAGCCATTTTAACAAATACATTTAGACTTAGGAGACTTTATATCTCCAATATGATTTGTACTTTACACCACATTATGCTAACTTCTATCTACCAGTTACTTGATTCCTATTTGAATCTGCAAAAAAAAAGTTTATGAAAAAGAAGTGAGAGGTGAGTAATGTTGGTGATACATACTTTATAACACACATCTCAAATTTAATTAAGACTAATTTGACTTTAACACAGGCTCATGATTCACAGTAAATAATGTGTTCATCATATCGTGATTCATTTTTAACACATAAAGTTACAATGGCCAAAACTGATGAACAAAGAAAATTGGATGATAAAGTCACTTGTTCAATTCTCAGCCCAATTTCATGGCAAAGAAAAAGGTAGCACGAATTCTTTGTTGGATCTGGCACATTAATAAGATTGGTAACAAAGCACCCGCAAGAAGCTCATACATAGTCTTCAATAGTTCATTTGATGATAGAAGAAAGTAGGGATCTTTTTCACAGTTAAAAGAGAGAATCCCCAGTTGAGACAGCTATAATCCCTAATGCTCTCCTCATCACTTGAGAAGGAAAATAATCTCTGGTTAGTTCATACAGATCAAAGCACAAGGTAGAAGTACATAAGGAGATAAGTTACCATGTCTCATGAACGGTCTTCCATTGACATAGACTACATAACATTTATGGGCAATAATTCATAGCAGAAAAAACTAAAAAATCATATATTTATCTTGGTATTCACTTCAGAATGTCAAAAGGAATTGTTGCCTCATCTAAAAACTGCCTTCAGTAAAGAAATACACCAGTTTAGAGTAGCTCTGCCTTCAGCACACTCCACCTACTGATACTTCTTTCCTCAGAAACCAGACTCTGCCTTGAACAATTACACTCCACCTACTGATACTTCTTTCCTCAGAAACCAAACTCTGCCTTGAACAATTACCCTCCTCCTAATATTTCTTTCTTCAGCAACCAAACATGTACATAGGAACTCTGCCTTGAACAATTACAGTCCTCCTAATAATTATTTCTTCAGCAACCAAACATGTACATAGGAACTCTGCCTTGAACAATTACAGTCCTCCTAATAATTCTTTCTTCAACAACCAATCATGTACATAGGAACTCTGCCTTGAACAATTACACTCCTCCTAATAGTTCTTTCTTCAGCAACCAAACATTCACACAGGAACTCTGCCTTCAACAATTACGCGCCTACTGATACTTCTTTTTTTAGCAACCATATATGCACATAAGAATTCTGGCTTAAGTAAGCAGCTTAATCCTTACTTGCGTTGAAGCAAAAAAAAAAAAAGGTTTTTATAATATTTGTAACTTCCACATGCAGTCATAAACCCACTAACTTTGTCTTCCACCAACAATCACTCTGCCTTCAAGCAAATAATGCAAAGCAACTCTCGAAACCATTTTTCTGTAACATGAAGATTAATTCAAGAACTGTTTTGCTTTTAATTGTTTAACATCGTTTTAGTTTAAACAGAAATATGACTATTTGAAAAGTTTTTGTTGTTGAAATACATACGGATGAAAATTCTGCATGTCACCATATTTCAAAAAGATAGCATGTGAAACATAATATTGTTACGTCTCCGTTTGTTAATTAACTTTCCGTAACTTCGTTCCGACGAAATTTAAGCGACACAAGTCTTTACTTAATAAAACTGGTTTATTCTTTCCGAATATAACTCTGCGATACAATTAATCCCAATATTCGCGCTAAAACAACCAGTATCACGAACGAACGTTAACTTCAACAATACCCTGTGACTGCAGTTCAATTACTAACTGACTATCACACATTACATTCCCCTCTTTTATATACCAGCGTACCCTATTTCTAGTAAGAGCTTGAACATTCGCCAAAGTACATGATAGTTCTAGAAACGTTGCGTCACGGTAGTCATGTGACTGCTGACGCAACACTGCCCCCTCCTTAATATTGTTCGTCCCGAACAATAACCACATATAATAAACCAATAACAATTACTTAATTAAAATGTACAGAATTACAAACACAAAATTACAATTCAACAAAGTCTCTTAATTTTACAGGACGTATCTTCTTCCGTACTGGTCTCCGTCTTGTTGGATTCTGCTTCATGTGGGGTTCATCTACTTCATCAGGAAATGTCCTATCATCGGTAACAGTCACATCAGTGTTAGTAACATCACCAAGAGCTTCACCGTTTCCCTTCTCCAAACTGAGTAGAGTTTCTTCTTCAACGGTGGCTTCTTCAGGTGTCACGTCTTCAGCGGCGTCATTTGTTCTGTGGTCCACTTCATCCCAACTGAAATGTCCTGGACCATGATAACGCCAAAGCCTATTGGCATGCACCACTTTTGGTTTACCTCGCCGGCCACATTTTACCCGGAAAGTCACGTCTGAGAGACGAT